CCATGACCGAGCCGAGATCCAACGGGCAGCTAAGCGCAGCAGCCGGTAGCGACAAGAAGGTGACGGTGGTGGACCAGACGGACGGCGAGGTGGCCCTGCCGGAGTTGTCGGGCTACGTGAAGATTTGCAAACCGCGTTACCTGGGCATACGGGTGTTTAAACGCGTGTACGTTGTCCTCAAAAAGACCATACTGCAAGTATACAAGGTGGGTGGCTGAAGAATGTAACCTTTTTGAAAACCACTAGGATAAACTCTAAGTATTTTAAACGCGGCATTACATTACTCTGATAATTGTATATGGAATTCCAAAATATACAATTGGGTAGCAGTCTATTATAGGGCTAGCTACAGAAACTGAATCCCAAAAATCTGTAATAAGGCACCCGTGGTATTATGGCGACTACGAATGCGTAATACGGGGGCGCATAAGAGATAACAGAAGACATATATCAAACAAAAACAGGAAATAAAATTTAATTTATCATAAAAGTTAAAATATAGAAACGAAAAAAACGTGCCAAAGTTAAAAAATGAATTAAAATTTTAAAAAATTGACAAAATTGACAAAATAAAAATAGCCATAAATACCGCTTCACTGCGGACGTATTACAGAATTCTGGTGGTTTAGGTTTGGAAGTGAGCCCTTTAATAGACTGTTATCTAAAAACAGAATAGCTGTAGCCTTAATAACCATGCAACCTAGTGAATGTCTGCTGGATAAAAGGATAAGGTTTCGATTAGCCCGCACAAAACAAAATCCCAATGATGAGGAAGAATCATTAAGGAAGTCCGAGAGGCTGGTCCTTTCTGACTTTATAATTTTTGCCGACCCACCTTACCCAACCCTAGATTTTGAATAACCTAGGTTTTTACAACCGAGATCTGTAGCGTCTAAGTAATGTTTAGAGCAATAAAAAATAATCAGGCCAACTCGTAGGTGGTAGGTAAAAGGCTGATGACGCCTGTAGGAGGGGGGGGGGCTTATTTTGCTTATGTGCCTGAGTTGTTGTCTCAGGTAACAGTGACAAGAATATAGCAGTGGAAATGGCGAAGTCATCCATGCATGAAGGAGAGTGAGACGGCGGTGACAGCTGCTTTTCAAATGGTGTATTGCATTATCCGGTGGTTGGTAACGTGCATACTGGCTTATTAAGTATCAGCCGATGGGCGATGTGTTCAAGTGGCGCTTAGACAGCCACGACTGTCTAGACGCACGTCTCCCCCCCCGCATGCCCCCTAAGCAGGCCATGTAGTAGTTACAGTGGACCAATACGTTGTTTAGATCAGGGTACGGCAGACGCTATTCAGGTTGTGCTCTCACAACAAATGCCGAACAGAGGGGGGGGGCGTGGTTGTACACGTACAGTAGGTTGCCAAACTCATGCAATCCTACGATTTTTACAAGTAACT